GGCTGGTGTACTGATCCCAGCAACACTGGGAAAGGGAAATGCATGGAGGGATCCTACAAAGGACCAGTGAAGATGCCTCCACAGGCCTCTGCTGGAACTGCCTATCCACAGCCCCTTCTGAATTCCAGCATGTGTCTAGAGGACAGCAGATACAACTGGTCTTTCATTCACTGTCCAGGTAAGATGCCTGCATATCCAAATTCAAGTTATTCATTACCTGTTTATAAAGAATACAAACTTGAAAGCTACACTATTCATATGAATTTCCTTTAAGTGAAAAATATAAGTAACACACCATTTTAGGAGAMAAGATAGTTTCATTTAAAAATAGTTTTAATGTCAGTTAACAAAAATATTGAGGAAATTCATGTAAGTTATTTTACTAACTTTTATTATAAAATAATATGTGCTTTATAAAAATATTATACCTGTATACAAAATAAAACCTGGAGTCCCCCTCTCCTCAGTTTTTTTTTTATTTTTCTTTTTTTAGTTGTAGATGGTCACAATACCTTTATTTTTATTATTTATTTTTTTATGTGTGGCTGAGGATCAAACCCAGTACCTCACACATACTAGATGAGCACTCTACGAATGAGCCACAACCCCAGCCCCCACTCAGGTCTTTATAAATACTTTTTCAGAATTTAATATAGATACTTCCAGACATATTCATTTATATATTTTAATATAAAATATACTTTTTATATTTTTATGTATTATACTAGGGATATTATATTTACTGCTTTATAATTTTCTTTTTACATAAAAACACATCTTGAAAATTAAAAAAAAAACTCTTTTTACTGGAAGAGTTAATTAATTGTCAAGAATTCTTTAAAGTTTGATAGAATTCACCAGTGAAATCATCCAATCTTGGGCCTTTCTTTGTGCTAAGATTTTAAATTATTTGATCTCTTTACTTGTTATAAGTCTATTCAGAATTTCTGTTTCTTCTTGAGTCAGTTTTAATACCTGTGATTTTTAAAGAATTTGTTAGTTTCATCTGTTTTCAAATTTGTTGAAATATGGGTCATAATATTTTCTTACACCCAACTTGTTAGTCTTGTGTATCCTCCTTGTAATCTATTGAGGATTGTTTTCACATGTCTAATTTTATTTCACATATCCTTTTACTTTTTATAAGTGCTCTAAATTTTGTGAGGGTATTTTCAGAACTTGATTTCTTTTGTGGAATCAATTATTTAAGTCTCTTTAAATATACTAAAATTAGTATTTTTAATTCTCTTTTGTTTCTTCCATTAAGCCCTCTTTCAGTTTTTTTTTTGAGTATTTATCCTGCAGTTGCATGTGGTTAGAGCATTTTCTTAAAATTTTGAATCCTTAAGATTGATTTGCATTTGTAATTGACCATGTAAATTTATCAGTATTGGTTAGCAGTGGTGTTTATTGAACTGTTATGAAGGTGTGGGATGAGTTCCTAAGGGAGCAGCCAGCTAACATCAGGACATTTTTTTTTTTAAGATGGACACAATACTTTTATTTTATTTATTTGTTTTTATGTGGTGCTGAGGATTCAGTGCCTCATGCATGCTAGGCAAGCACTCTACCACTGAGCTACATCCCTATCTCCAACCTCAGGACTTTTATTTTTTCCAGTTGTAGATGGATACAATATATTTATTTTTATTTATTTATCTTTATGTGGTGCTRAGGATTGAACCCAGTGCATGCTTGAGAGGCAAGCACTCTACACTGAGCTACAACCCCAGCCCAACCTCGGGACTTTTTACCTCTAGTCTGCTCTTACAGTTGTTGAATGGTTTGTGCTCCTCTCTCAGAAGCAGTGGACCCAGGTGCCTGGATACTTTTGGCACAATCATGGTTGTGCCCGTGCCTCTACCATTTGGTGTTCTGGCAACCTAAAGATAGCTGATATATTGCCCTGATATTTTTCTGACCCCACACTCTCCTTCTTTCGCACTCCTGTTCCACCCAGAACTATTCTTTCCCACTACTGCCCCTGAACCYATACCTCAGCCAGCTGAGGAACTCATACAGGGCAGGTCATGTGCCATTTCTGTTACCTACCAGTCTGCTGAGGCCTCCTTTGCTTCCAGCCTCCACTGAGTTTTTCAGRTGTCCACTAGTAAACTTCATCTAGTCAGATTGGCAGTACCTTCCTTTTCTTACCTTAAGATACAGGTGTCTCAGTTCTTTTCTTTCTGATTGGCCCATTCTGCTTTATAATTTCTAGACATTCCTGAATATTTCAGCAGTGTCTCTCAGTACTTCTAATAGTACCTTTCTCTTCTATTTCACACTTCCGCTGATTTAGCACTCTTTTTCACTTTTTTTCCCCATGTAATTCAGTGGTATTTTGAAAAGGAAGAAGGAAGCATTTTCTGTATCTTTTCTTCTTGAACCAGAATAGAGGTTTTTTTCATGCATAATTTTTAGGTAATTTAATACATGTGTTGTACTTTACCCTTTGCTCATCTTCATGGGAACAAAATGCATATCCTACATATAAGTAATTGTGGTACAATATTTTAAGTTTTATAGTTGTAGTATATAAAACACCTCAAGTACCTACATAGATGGTGTAGCTAACAGGTGAGTAAAAGAACATGTGCAAGGATATAGAAATTTTTCAGGATGTGAGAAAACCACCTCATGTTGATGAACCAAAATCTGAAGAATCAGAGATTGTGGTTACAGTGGTGCAGGTTGTAACTTATGTGAACATTCCCATGTTCTGCAGTGCACAGCCTGCATAGCTGTCTCAAGCAGTCTTTGAGAGGTCAGGGTTTATATGCCATATCCATCAGGAGCCTTAGTAATCTCTGCTCTGGAAATGCTTATATGTARAGTTGGTTATTTTTCTAATAGTGAAAATTTGAAAGCAAACAAAATATTAGAACTTGATGGGATGGTTAAATAAGTGCTATAATTCATAAAAATCATCATCAAGTTTTGTTCATGATAGATTAAATGTAAAATAATTTTGATCTAAGTTTAAAAACTCAAAATTGAATATTAATATCAAAACTACAAAATTGTATAGAAAAATGCTGGAAGGAGAATATTTAACCGTTGCATAATACATGTTGTTTTTAATCGGCACACACAACTTCTCCAACATAGGCCACATTTTATGTTGTAAAGCAAATGTTAATGAATTTTTAAAAATGAATTAATTGCTGACATCTTATCAGATCATAATGAAATGAAATTATGAATCAAATGCAAGAGAAACTGCAAAAATTACACAATAAATGGATATGAACCAATATATTTTGAATGGAAACTGGGTCATTGAATTAATCATAAGGGAAATGTTTAAATTCCTAGGGTAAAATGAAAATGGAACCTATGGGACAATGCAAAAGCAGTTATAAGAGAGAAGTTTATAGTTGTAAAGTCCCACATTAGAAAAACAGCACGATCTCAAATAAACATCCTTATGATGCACCTCAAGGACTTAGAAATTAGAACAAACAATATAAACTCAATGGAAGGAAAGAAATAATAAGGATCAGAATGGAAATAAAATAAATTATATAAGAATAACACAAAAGATCASTGAAACAAAGTGTTGGTTCTTTGAAAAAAATAAACAAATTCAGAAACCCTTAGCCAAACTAACCAAAAGAAAGAGAAGACCCAAATTAAAAAAAGTTAGCGACAAAAAAGGGGATGTTATAACACATACCACTGAAATTCAGAGGATTATTAGGGACTATTTAAAAAACTATACGCCAATAAACTGAAAAATCTGGAAGAAATGGACAAATTTGTAGATACATATTACCTACCAAAATTGCACCAAAATATGTAAATATCATAAATAGAGACATAACAAGCAATGATATTGAAGCAGTAATAATCTCCCAACAACAACAACAACAAAAAGCCAAGGACAAGATGATTCACAGTTGAATTTTACCAGACTTTTAAAGAAGAATTAATACAAATACTTCTCAAACTAATTCATAAAATGAAAAGGGAAAGAACTCTTCCAAATTCATCCTACAAAGCCAGTGTGTAACTTGCTACCAAAACCAGATAATGACAAATTATGATATATGAGAAAATTACAGACTGAGGGCCTTAATATCTCATTTTTCTGCAATAACTTGGTTTTGACAGTTTGGTCTTATTTCTCAAATTAGTTTCTGGTGGGTAAGTTTTGATGATTTTTTTCTGTTTTGTTGTTATTTGTTTTGTTTTGAGACAAGTTTTGCTGTGTTGCGCAGGCTGGCCTCAAGCTCCTGAGCTCAGGAGATCTTTCTGCCTCAGCCTTCCCAATAGCTGGTATTATAGGCAAATACCCCCATGCCCAGATAGTTTGATGATTTGAGTTTTAGAGGCATTGGGAACTTACAGATGCAGATAAATTTCATGGAACTCCCTGCACCCAGTTCTGCCATGATAGAGGCTCCTAAAATCCTTTTCCTTTCAGCTTGCCAGTGCAATGGCCACAGCAAGTGCATCAACCAGAGCATCTGTGAGAAGTGTGAGAACCTGACCACGGGCAAGCACTGCGAGACCTGCATATCTGGCTTCTATGGTGATCCCACCAATGGAGGCAAATGCCAGYGTAAGTAGTGTGGGTCGGACTTGCTGAGTGCAAGTCAGGTGGAACACAGGACTTCTCTGACTTGAGTAYCTAGGAGGAGAAAAGCCACTTGGCTTTGGATGCTGCATTTCTTTTTAAGTCATATTGTCAGGAGCTCAGCTGAGTTGGAAGAGAAAGGTGAACTGTTGGGTGTGAGAGTAGCCTGGTGAAGCAGCAGCTCCACAGTGAAAGAGTTGAACCCTTAACCACACTGAACCATGGGATAAGCAAGGGGCCCAAACCAGAGAAATGCTGACTTCCCCATTTCCATCTTCCCTGTTGGAACAGTGCAGCAATGGAGAGTCGGAGGCTCAGYGCTGGTGGTCAGCRGCTCCCCATGGAGGGCACCTTCCCAGCAATATTGTAGACYCTGAGGCTGTGGGGAGGGAGGGAGTAAGGACTGGGAGTGGGGAAGTCCTGGGCACTGAGTCAGAGTGAAGAAAGTATTTTCAGACCCCCCACCCCAGCCCCCTTAAATAGGCCTCAGGAGAGGCCCTGAAGCCAACCTGTGCTGGAGGCTTTGGAGGAAGACCTGTGGGAATGAAGGAGTGCCTGGCTGGAGGCCCAAGTCCTTGACTGCACCTCCTGCAGAGACTGAAATGCTTGGCTGTGCCCTGAGTTTGCTGAGAGGAGGGCAGCTGTCCCCTGAGGCCACTAGGTCAAGCCTCTGGTTAGGCCTGAAAAACCACACACAGGTTTTAAACCAGGAGCTGCACTCAGCCCTTCTAGTGTATTTTAAAGATTTCAGTAGTCCCATGTTTCCTCATTCATGGTAGATGAAGCATACAAGTGGTAATCTAAATTGTTTTTTAAAGGGAAAGGTATAATCATTGAACTGATTTTGGATTTGTTCTAGTTTCCAACAGAAAATTATTGTGAGTCTATCCTCTTTCTCCTTGCCATCTGATTTTGGAGGTTGAACCCAGGGGTGCCTTATCTTTGAATGACAACTCCAGACTTTTTTAGTTTTTGAGACAGGGTCTCACTGAATTGCCCAGACTGGTCTTAATATTGCAATTTTTTGGCTTCTGCCTCCTGAGTTGATGGAATTACAGACATGCACCATTGTATCTGGCTATTAGAGTAGTCTTCTAGTTGAAAGAATCCTCAAGTTCTGAATGGGAAAAATAAATAAGAAAGGACAACTCTACTTTCTCCTCATATTCCACCTCCAGGCTTCTTTTTATGACACTTCAGAATCTCATCCCAGGCCAGCCAAGATAGAGTGGCAGTCTAGCTATTTTGTSTGTCCCTTCAACTCCCTGGAGTTCAGTTTTCTCATCTGTAAAATAGCAGTTTAGTGTGGTGTTGAGATTAAAGCCATCAGAGCAGTACATGGCACATAGTTAATACTCAGTAATGTGAGAAATTRCTATATCCATTCTAATGTCATTTCCTTTTACTCTTTTTTTAAAAATATTTTTTTAGTTGTAGATGGACACAATATCTTTATTTATTTATTTATTTTGTACATGACAATAGTGCAATAATAATTATAATAATAATTATCCATTTACAGCACAACTTTATATACAGAGTTATATAAAATATGTTCACGCCAAATTATGCCATTATATGTGAACTCTCTTATTGATTTTTTTGCATTACAATTCTTAATACACCTTTATACCACAATTTATTGGTATAAATTTATTTGTATCTAAGGTATGTTGACACCGAATTCACATCTTCATACATGTATTTTGTATAATGATGGCCGTTTCCTTCCACCATCCTTGCTATTCCCCTTCTCCCTCCCTCCCTTTCCCTCCCACCCTTATTCCCTATCTAGAGGCAATCTTCCTCCCCTGCTCTCCCTCCCTACCCCACTTTGAGTCACCTCCCTTATATCAGAGAAATTCGGCATTTAGTTTTTTGGGATTGGCTAACTTCACTTAGCATAATCTTCTCTAATGCTATCCATTTCCCTGAAAATGCCATGATCTTATTCTTTTTTAGTGCTGTGTATAAATGCCACATTTTTTTAATCCATTCATCCGCTGAAGGACATCTAGGTTGGCTCCACAGTTTAGCTATTGTGAATTGTGCTGCTATAAACATTGATGTGGCTGTGATGTGGTGTTGAGGATCAAACCCTGTGTCTCAGCATGTTAGGCATGTGCTGTACCACTGAGCTACACCCCAGCCCCCCTTTTACTCTTACATAAAGTGTCTTGTGCAGATTAAAAGTGTTCAGTAAAAACATTTATGGGTGAATACACTTAATCTATTTGATAGTAATCAAAACATAACATTTCTGAGGAGTAAATGTGTACAAAGCTTTGTGCTGATAGCCTTTGGAGACAAAGGGATCTTTATCATCTCCAAGGTTACATAGCCTGCCCAAGATCTCACAGATGTGGATAAGCTGGAACTTCATTCAGTAGTGCTGACCTTAGCTACTGACTTGGTTGTATCTCCAAGCAAACATCCCCATATCTGCAACTGCTATCTAGAAAAATCAAATTTTCCTCTGTGACATCTATAGAGCTTTAGTATTCTTTTCTAGAACTTAGAGATTGCTTTATTTTCTAGTTACAATACAAGTATAGTTTTAAAAATACTGAATGATACCAAGTCTTCAGTGTATTTCCTCTTATAATGGTGTAGTCCTTAGCTAAGGATAGCAGCTATGATGTATTGAGGTCATGTTTCAGGTGGCATACACTTTATCCATTTAATAGTAATCAAAACATAACACTTCTGAGGGGTAAATGTTTACAAAGCTTTGTACTGACAGTTTTTTTGGAGACAAAGGGACCTTTGTCATCCCTGATGTCACATAGCCCGCCCAAGATCTCACAGCAACCCTTTTAGATAGGTGCTATTATTAGCCTCATCATACAGACAAGGAAGAAGACTCAGAAAGGCTAAGTAGCATGCCTAGAATTCCAGGAAGGGCTAAGTGGAGGACAGTGGATTCAAACTCAGGAAAACAGACATTAGGCCTCTGCTTTTCACTAACACACTGCCCTACACACTCAGCAGAGCAAGAGTTGACACTTAATTTCTGCTCTACCATGTATTCTAGTAAACTCTGTACTGTTCTGTTTTGCAGATTTTCTCTTTTTCCCCCCTTCTTGGGATTTATTTATTTATTTATTTGGTAATGGGRATTGAACTCGGAGGCACTCAACCACTGAGCCACATCCCCAGCCCTATTTTATGTTTTTATTTAGAGACAAGGTCTCCCTGAGTTGCTTAGGGTTTCATTTAAGTTGCTGAGGCTGGCTTTGAACTTGGCTGCATTTATTTTTAAAGTGCACCTTTAGCCAGGCATGGTGGCACATGCCTATAATTCCAGTAGCTTGAGAGGCTGAGGCAGGTGGATTGTGAGTTCAGAGCCAGCCTGAGCAACTTAACGAGGTCCTAAACAACTCAGTGAGACCTTATTTCTAAATAAAATACAAAAAAGCGTTGAGGATATGGCTCAGTGGTTGAGTGCCCCTGGGTTTAATCCCCAGTACCCCCCACCAAAAAAAWAAGTATTTCTTTACTTTATTTACAGAAAATCAGGGTGTAAAGGGAAAAGTTGTTGGGCACAGAGACTTTTGCATTTATTTCAGTGGAGTATAAAATGTGTCACAGCTCATAATTAACTGTTGGGTAAAGTTAGGCAGAGGTGTGCTGAGATGGCTGTAGGAGGGACATGGGAAGATTGTTTTCTGTAAAAGCAAAGGAAAAGGCAAGATAAGGTTGATGAGTGATGAAGGGTCTTAAATGTTCCCCTTGCCATCGGGGTCCCTCACTTCTGAGCCCCTGAGGGTTTTAACATGTGGCCCACTTGGGGAACACTCATCTGCGAAGGCAGAGGACAGTCTGGCCAACCTCCTCCTAGAAGGCAATCAGCAACCTGAGCATCTCCATGGGGGAAGGGACCCAGCACCCAGCTTGCTGGAAATGCATTATAAATATTCACTGAACAAATGAAAGAATCATAATACTGAGAAAGAGTGTCAGTTTTAAGGTCAAAATAGAGATTGCCTCAGCTGGTGGTGGGAACCAGCTTTATCTTTCTTACTGTCCTTTTGCTTGAATTCCTTTAATGTTTTCTTTACATTATTAGAGATAAATCATTACTTGAAAATTGTGAATCTTACTTACTAAATATTCTTTTTTTTAGTGTGACTTCCTACAATCCCAATTCAGATAAAATTATTTGTTTTAGGAAAAGTCTCTGATAGTAAGCCAGATGTATCCTGTGTGCTTTTTCCTTTTCTCCAGCATGTAAGTGCAATGGGCATGCCTCACTGTGCAATACCAACACGGGCAAGTGCTTCTGTACCACCAAGGGCGTCAAGGGAGATGAATGCCAGCTGTAAGTATCTGTTCTACCACCAGAGATGGCACAGGGGCTAGGAAGTTAGCCTGGGGAGCTGCCCCTTCCCTGTGCTTTGTTGCCTGGATTCTGAGTGATCCCTYCAGAGATTAGTTTGAAATTTTGCCCTTTCTGCTTCTGACAAGTCAACCCCCAAGCTTAGGGATTTTCAGTATCAATTCTTAAAAGACTCTTTAATTCACATTTTTAAAAAAGTGTTTGATACTGACATTTCCTGGATTGCTAATCCTTTAACTTAGCAGCTACCATTAGAAATTTGCACTTTTTCTGAGGGATGGAGTTGGAAGAACTGGTGTTGAACCAGTGCTTCTTTGTGTTTCTTTGGCATTTTGTTTCTCTGATAGTGGGTGATTCTCTTGCCTTGCACACATCCCTCCTGTTCTGCCCTTCTTTTGGTGAAGTGTGTATATCATCTTCAAGGGGAAGGCTTCAAGTCTCTGTCCATAAGGATGAGGCTTAACGTCAAACAGCATTGGGTTTCAGACCTGGCTGTGCTTCCATTGAGCAGGATCTTTTGAGGCAGATCACAGAACCATGCCGAGACTCAGTTTCCCCATCTCCCAATAGGGGAAATAGCAGTAATTGTTTTTAGTATCCTGGAGAGTTGCAACAAGAGAGATTGCCCCCAATTAACATATTCCTATCTGCTATAGTAGAAAACCTCATGAAACATATAGCCAGGCTTATCCACTCTCTCAGGAAGAGACTTAAGAGAGATGTGTTTAGTGTGAATCTTGAGCTGATATATGCAGATACATCATCATTGGCAAACTTCATTTTCCTTAAAGAATGTCACCAGTAACATGGATATTATTCAGCAGGGAATTGGTCTATGTACACTTTATAGATTATATTATAGTTTATATAAATGTACATGGTTGTCAATTTCATGCTTCCCCAAAGCCAATATGTTAAGAAAAGTCTAATCAAAAATCAAATTTAAATTTCAGATCTAGGTTCCTTTTCACAGAAAAATTGAGAGCAAAATTAGTCACTGTTGCYCTCTATTGGGGGAAACAGCAAAGGCATGATGTGGCATGCAGTGGAGGACTTTCAAGTGTCTTCTAGAAGTTGTAGATAGAGACAAATGCCTGTCATCTCCCTGGATGAAAGGGCAGCAGCGTCCCTGGCTCATTTGAACTGGGAAAAGTGTTTCCCGCAGCTCTCCCTCCTTCCTGTGAACTTCATAGCCGCTTTGCTTGCTAAGTTGGCTTTGTGGAGAGAGAGATGGGTTTCGCTGAGTTTGTAAATGACATCTAAGGAGAAATTAATATTCATTTTAAGAGGAAATTATATTCTCTCCAGGCTAGCCAGTACTCGTTTAAGAGTGTTAGTTATTTTTTAAGTGATCCTTGGTATTTAGTTTTCTCTCATTTGGGTGTAAAGAACAGGGTCAGTTTACCGAGGGAGTACAGGAAAGAAATGAATATTTGAAAAATGTTTTAGTTGCATTTTTAGAAGAACAGGAAGTTCACAGGAATGTGAAAATGTGCTTTTCATTATAATAAATAGGATCTAGGTTTATGACATTTGGATTTATCTCCTGTGCCTTGGCAAATGTTTATTCATTGTTTTTATATAGTAGTGGTGGAACTGATGGGCAATCTGTATGTAAATTCAGGCACACTCCTCTTAATCCATCTGATATAAATAATGGTGAAGACKGTAATTATCAGGACTCAAAACTGGTTGCAGTCTGTGTAAAAGGATCTACTTGATTTAAAAATGAATATAGATTCCATATTAAATAACAGAAAAAATAATTACATTTTTTCCCCCTAGATGTGAGGTAGAAAATCGATACCAGGGAAATCCTCTCAAAGGAACGTGTTATTGTAAGTATTTTTGTAATTCTTAATTTCTAAAAGGAGTAGTAGTTCTGTAAAACTCCATTATTTTCTACAACATGGTTTGAGAATGGTAAGCGCTACCACCATGCAATTGTCCCTTGACTTGGTGGGTTTGCCTATTTTAAGCTATTTTTAAGTGGCCACGTTTATGGTAATGTTTGTAGAAGATAGCAGAGGCCAATACAGAGTCATGCACCCCTGGATTTCCTTGTTTATGTTCTCGAAACCTTACTTCATTTGCAACCACCTGGTTGAGGATATCTAACATTTCATATCTGAGAATATCGATAATAAACAGAATTCTTAAAATATAGATGAAATTTCATCATTCTTTCTGGAGCTGATTTGTGTTAACTACTTCTTTAGGAACAAGTTTTTAAAATAAAACATCACATGATTATCTTAGAATGAAATGTGAATCTGGCAAGGTGACCATTTATGGATAGATGGATTTTTTCCCCCTGTGGCAATCCATAATATCTGGTATACAATCTGGTATGCCAGATTGTGGATCCAGATAAAGGAGTTAACATATCTGCTCTGTTGGAYTGAATAGCTCTAATGTCATAATTCATAAAGAAAAAGTTAATTAATGAGACTTTATCCAAATTTCAGGCTTCTATTTAAACAAACACCATTCAAAACAAATCAAAATCAAGCCATAGGCTAGAGAAAATATTTGCAAATCTGGCCTCACCAGACTGGAAAAGGGTTGGAATATTTTAATAATCATTTCAGATTATTGTGGATAGTATCCTTTGATATCATTGAAACTGCAGAACTAGTCATTTTTTAATATTTATTTTTTAGTTATAGGTGGATACAATATCTTTATTTGTTTTTTTATTTTTAAAAAATAAATGACAGTGGAATGCATTACAATTCTTATTATACATCACAATTATTATATACAGCACAATTTTTCATATCTCTGGTTGTAATAAAGTATGTTGACAACAATTCGTGTCTTTATACATCTACTTTGGATAATGATGTCTATCACATTTCACCATCCTTGCTAACCCCCTGCCCCGTTCCTTTCCCTCCCATTCCTCTACCCTATCTAGAATTCATCTATTCCTCCCATGTTTCCCCTCCCTACCCCACTATGAATCAGCCTCCTTATATTAGAGAAAATGTTTGGCATTTGGTTTTACATACTGCTCAAGGGAACTATACACCAACAAGACATAATAATCATAAATATATATGCCCCAAACAATGTTGCAGCTATGTCCATCAAACAAATTCTTCTCAACTTCAAGAGTCAAATTGACCACAACACAATAATCTTGGGTGACTTTRACACACTTCTCTCCAAACAAAAGTTGAATAAAGAAACTATAGAAATCAATAATACAGTCAATAACAGACTTAACTGACACCTACAGAATATTTCAACCTGCATCAACCAGATACACTTTCTTCTCAGTAMACATGGATCCTTCTCTAAAATAGACTATATAATATGCCACAAAGCAACTCTTAGCAAATACAAAAAAGTAGAGATACTACCATGCATCTTTATTTTATTTGTATGTGGTACTAAGGATTGAACCCAGTGCCTCATGCATGCTAGGTGAGCACTCTACCTCTGAGTCACAACCCCAGCCCTCATTTATTTTTTTTAATATTTATTTTTTTTTTTAGTTGGACACAATATCTTTATTTTATTTATTTATTTTTATGTGTTGCTGAGGATTGAACCCAGAACCTCGCACATGCTAGGCGAGTGCTGTACCRCTGAGCCACAACCCCAGCCCCCTCATTTCTTTTTTTTAAAAAATATTTTTTAAATTGTGGATGGACACAATCAATACCTTTATTTATTTATTTTATGTGGTGGAGAGGATTGAACCTGGTGCCTCACATGTACTAGATAAGCGCTCTACCACTTAGCAACAATCCCAGACCTATAATCAATTCTTAAAGGTTGAAATTTGGAAGCAGAGACATATCAGTGAAATTTTTGTAATCATGCACATTAGAATCTATTTTTCATTGGAGAGAAGAAAAGCTAACACCATATTTCAGCAAGGGTGTTGAAGAATAGGAACCTTCATGTATTGCTTATTGAATGTTAAGTGGTACAGCCATTTTGGAAAGCCATTTGGCAGTTTCTGAAACAGTTAAAAAATAAACAACAACTCTCCATTCCCTCCTCCCCSCTGACACCAGTCACCACCAGTCTTTTTCTGTTTCTATGAATTTGACCTCTCTGGGTATCTTCTCTAAGTAGAAACATAGTATTTCTCTTTTGGGGGCTGACTTCTTATAGTTGATATGAGATCTTCATGGTTCATCTATGTTATAGTGTATGTAAGGCTTCCTTTTCTTTTTATGGCTGAATAATATCTGATTGTACATTCCATATTTTGCTTATCTATTCCTTAGTGAGCATGGCTTGTTTTCATCTTTTGGCTATAGTGAATAATGCTGCTATGAACATGGTAAACAAATATCCATGTGAGACCCTGCTTTCAGTCCTTTTGGGTGTGTATCCAGAAATGCAACTGCTACATCATCTGGAATGCTGTGCTTAATTTTTTTAGAGTATAACTTTGCTTTTATTCAAGCAAACTTGAATTCATATCTATTACCAACTTAGGGAAGTTTCTATCTTCCTTTGAAATTAAATTTTCTCATGTAATGCTAATACCTGCCCTATAGAATGAATAAGAAATTGAAAATTCTTATTAGAAAGTGTCATCTTATTGTCTATTGCAGTAAACCCAAAGAAAAGGCAGGGTTTCTTATTTTTAGCAATATTGAAACCATTTTGTTATGAAGTGTTCTTTGTTGTTTGTTTTTAATTTCATTGACTCTCATTTTTCTTTCTATGGCCTAATACATTTGGATTTTTGTTTCTTCCCTGGCCAGATCACCAATAATCTTTCAGTGACACCATATTAAAGTCTGTTTACATACCACCTTCCTGACCATTACCACTTATTAACTGAGGGCTTTAGAACCTTTCTCTCAGTTTTCTTTTCCTCCCTTCACATCTTTTTTCTTTTTTATATATTTATTTTTTTAGTTGTAGTTGGACACAATACCTTTATTTTATTTATTTTTTTTTAATGTGGTACTGAGAATCGAACCCAGGGCCTCGCACGTGTAGGTAAGCACTGTACCGCTGAGCCAACATCTTATCATGCTTTTCAGAGAGATAGAGATAGAGAGAGACTGATTGAAGAAATGAAGGAAGAATTCTAAGATTTGGGTTATCTTTGAAATCCCACAGAAATTACATGGTTAAATCTATGGATATAGAGCTAAAAATAGAAGTCAAGGCTGGCACTGTGTTTAATTTTTTTTGAGGAATCCCTGCACTTTTTTTYTACAGCAACTGCACCGTTTTTTACTCTCATCAGCAATGCATGAGCATTCCAGTTTCACTCCCCAGTACTTGTCATTTTCTGGGTTTTTTTGTTTGTTTTTGTTTTTCGTTTTTTTTTTTGTTTTGTTTTTTGTTTTTCATAGCAGCCATCCTAATGGGATGAGATGTAATCTCATTTTGGTTTTGATTTGCATTTTCCCAATGATCAGTGTTATTCAGTATCTTTTCATCTGCTTATTGGCCATTTGTGTATCTTCTTTGGAGAAATGTCTGTTCAAGTTCTTTGCCCATTATTAAATAAAGTTTCAGTTGTTAAAATTTTTAAAATYACATTACCAGTTTGGGGCATTAAACTCTTTTTGAACTATATCACATTAGTCTCTGAGTGCTTTCTTCTCTTTTGCAACAAAATATCCAGGGTACATATTCCTTGCCCAGACCTGGAAGCAACTATTTTCCATGGAGTTTTAGTTTATTTCACACCATTAACTTATGTCTTTGTATCCATAAGCAAAATTTAGCACATACAAATGTTCAGTTACATTTGTGAGTGAGTTAGGCTGAAGCCAAATCTCATCTAGGGTCATTATATAAAGAGGGTTTGATGGATAACTCAAATAAAATGATGCTGCTGAAGGACTTGGTTTCCTTTGAAAAACCTGGATATGGGTAAGTCAGAGTTTGGCTATTGAGTTTTTCAGAACAGCAATCTGTGTCTTGAGCAAATTGTTCTTTTTTGCTCTATTTTAATTTTAAATGTGCATTTCTTTCTCTCCATAGATACTCTTCTCATTGACTATCAGTTCACTTTTAGCCTCTCCCAGGAAGATGATCGCTATTACACAGCCATCAATTTTGTAGCTACTCCTGATGAAGTAAGATTTTTAAAAGTTGACTCATTTTATTTTGRATTTGTTAGGATTTTTTTCTTGGTCATCCTGTCTAAAAGTACTGCTTTAACAGTAGTTTCAGAGTAGAGTACAGTATATAGCATGTTTAGAAGTGCAGGAAAAAAAAAAWTTTTAGAGTTGACATTTTATCTCCTTTCCATCCAGAAAGTAAGAGCAGTAGCGTTATAAGATTTACCAGAACCTTGATACACAGACTGACATTCACACCACACACACTTAGTATTTCTGCTCATCACAGCCCCAGACAGAGGAGACTGCAAAGGGAGCGCCATCATTAGGGAGCAGATAGCAGAGCCCAGACTTACTCACAGAAGGGACTGGGGCTTAAAAATCAGTCGTAAAAAATTGCTGACTTGGATGGTGGCCCACACCTGTAATCTAAGCTTCTTGGGAGGCTAGACCAGAGGATCACAAGTCCAAGGGCAGCCTCAGAAACTTAGTGATACCCTGTGTGAAAATAAAAAATAAAATAAAAGGCTGGGGCTGTAGCTCAGCAGTAGAAAAGTACTGGATCCAAAACAGGAAAATAAAATCCTGATTGAAATCCGTTAACACCATGGTGCAAGAATAAGCAGACAGCACAGGGGGTGCTAGGTGATACTTCTGTTTCTAGAAGGAATTCTAAGCCTCATTGGGAGGTAAAACAGAAAAAAGTTTAGTTGGTCCAATAAGAAGTTGGCCAGAAAGTAATTCACATGGTTTAAAACAGCTATTTGAAATGTGCATTTATATCTACTCTCATTAATTATAAAGTCTATCCTGCCCAAAGACATTACCTATTGATAGAAAGGAGCCAACACAGCATGACATTTAAAAGCAAACCTTCTAGAACATGAAGATGCATCTGTACAATTTCTTTCTTCATCTTTTCATGCTAGGGCTTGAATCCAGGGCCAGTTCCTACTAAGCATGAGCTTTAACCACTGAACTGTGGTATTGTTAATGAACTCTGTAAAGTCCATACCCATTCTAATACTTTGGGAAAATTTTATTAAACTTGATCTTAAGTTATTTAGGTCATTCCTTGGAAGTTTCTTCTCACTGACATACCTAAAGCCTTTGCCATCACAAATCCTGCCACAATAAATGTGACAAGTAACACATGGAAAACAACGTGACTGTAAACAAATGTGTATTCCTTTTTTTTTTAACATGTTATCACTAATAACTAATTTCAAAAACAAAAATGCAGAACAAAGTCCATAGTATGGTATATTTACTATTAAGTGAAAGTAAGATTTGTTTTAAATATTCCATTTCAATGATAAAATTAAGATGAGTGAATGACAGTTGGTCAAGATGGCGTATGCCTGTTGTTCCAGCTACTCAGGAGGCTGWTGCAGGAGAGTATTGTGTTCCAGGCCATCCTGGGCAATGTAGCAAGGCCCCATCTCAAAATATGAAAACAATGGCTGGGGTTGTAGCTCAGGGGAAGAGCACTTTCTAGTATGTGTGAAGCATTGGGTTCGAGTCTCACACCATATATAAATAAATAAAGATCCATTGACAACTWAAAAAAATTATAAAAATATGAAAAGAAGAACAGTGGATCGCCTTTAAGTAAAAGTAATAAGTGACTACAAATGAAGACATTTTGGAAAAACTGTGTAGGTGTGTCATTTAAGTTACTGTATTATCTGGAATTTTTAAAAAACATTTTAGGACAAAGTTACAGCAAAACTGGTACACATGAAATTTATTATTGCCTAATATTTATAAGCAAGTGGTAGAAATGCTCATAGTCTTTTMTGATACAATTGATGATGTAAATTTGATTTTTAAAAAATAAATATGGAAGAATATTCGTAATACTTCTAAATAAGTAAAGTGGAAAGAGACTTTGACAGTCAAAGTTTGTCAAACCAAACCTCTTTGCATTTCCCTATTTATGTTATATCAGAATATTTAATAGAAATATCCAAATGTATATGTTCTCTCTTTTATAAAAACACAAGGGTTTTTGAGATTTTTTGATCCTTATCATGGAAAGAAACAATTGATGCCAGCAACAGGAGGTGAGGTTTTCCCAATAAGTGAAAAAGTAACTACTTTGTGAGAGAAACCTCTTATTTGGAGATCACATTTTAAAAATTATTATATGCATATATTTCCATTGTTCTAGTTTTGTGTTATAATAAATATTAAGACAACATCATCCTTAATTTTCTAACCCGTTTTAGTATCTTTTAAAATTAAGAATGTATAAAATGTAAGATATAACATCTAATGAGATTGCAGAAAGAATTGACCCTGACTGAGAAGTTTACTAGTCAAGTTTCAGTCAAAACTAAAAATTAGTATTAGAATTTATGTAGCACAGCAAGCAGTGTCTTCTTCCATCTGCATCAACATTCCTCATAGATAAGTTTTTCAGTATTTAAAACTAAGAATCAAAATGAATTAGGCTGCCCCTTGAAATGCTGAATCTGTTAAGGCGTAAAGATGTTTGTCAAAGTTAAGAAAGTTTACTCATTTATATTTGTCTTGAAATAATATTTTTAGTAAAAGAAAAATTCATTATAATATCATGAATGAATATAATTAAATTATTGTTTAGTATGCTTCAGTTTTATAYTAATTTTTAAGACCATTTCCATATAGGAGAAATTTTGCACTGTATTATAATCTATGAATTTAGACATGGGTTAAGTTATAAATAAATAAATAAATACATTGAAACTGAGGCACTGGATCATGTATTTCCTAGTAAGTGGGAGCTCCAGATATTTAGAAACAGCTGTCCAGAGGATCCTGAGGAGTCTTGCTCCTCTGACATAAGTCAGAAGGTATAAATTATTGTTCTCAACATATGAGAACATMTTTTAGAACATATTTTAAAAGTCTCTTCTAAAAATGAACTTTTTCATGCAGTTAAGCATCTGAAAGAAGCATTGAATGCCGTGTTCTTTTCTGGGAGGGAAATGAAATTTTATATGGGGTATGTTGTTTATATTGAGGAAAATTGCTTAGGAATTTTTATAACTCTTCTATAAGCACAAATTTCTCTTGAAACATTGTAAAATATTCTGTAGTTGAGAAAGTCAAGAATAGTAGAATTATATATCTATTTATTTATATCTCTCATCAGCAAAACAGGGATCTGGACATGTTCATCAATGCCTCCAAAAACTTCAACCTCAATATCACCTGGGCTGCCAGCTTCTCAGGTAAAGACACAGCTAGCAAACACACTGTGAGTGGAGGTTGTGGGTAGAGAACTGTAACATAGGAATTGGGAAAAGAGGCTCTGGAGACAGACAGATGGATTTCTTTTAAAACCCAGTTTTGGCACATACTATCCATGAGACCTTGAGCAAGTGTCCAAATCCCTCTCTGGATTGTTCATCAGTAAAGTGAGCATAGCAACATTTACCTCCTAGAACAATGTAGATTAAATGAAGTGAGAGCTGCCATCACCTACCATGGCTCAGGCTCAGTAGGTGGCTTCCCCCTCCCCCCATCACCACCACTCACACCCTTGCAGTGGYYASTGCTCTGCCACTGTCCTCAACATCCAGACCCATGACTCAGGGGAAAAATATCAGTGAYTCAGTTTCAAAAAATGGAAATGTTTAAATAAAATGAGATTTCAATAGGTACAGAGAACTATACATTGGGAATTAAACCAAGCTCTGAAAGCATAGCTTTTGCTATCTGGTTTGCCTTAAATATGATTTACTAAAGATTTGATGACCCTGATGTAGTGGTTAGGACACATTACCACTGCATAACATGATAACTTGACAAATAGAGCTGAGTTCAATTCTGCCTATTATTTACTTGCATTGTGCTGTTGAAAGTAGCTTTCTGAGCCACTTTCCTTGTGTAGGAAATGGGACAGTAAAAACACATTGCCATGTAGAGTATTGCAGGAATTACATGAGATGATAAAGGAAGTACTCAATGTAATGCTTGAACATGGGCAGTTGTCACAGAATGGTAGCTCAGTTTTGTCAAAGTCTCTGCTGTTACAATACTCTTGTTTTTGACCACACAAAAACTAATCAGACTGGTATAATATAATATAAGAATATAATCTTTGCTGTCATTTGGGGGTTTATTAGGGCTTAAAAGATTTTCAGTGACCATCTCAATGAAAACATGACAGGCGGGGCTGTAGTCCCATAGTTTAACTCAACATGGAAAAGAGTGCATTTTGTGAGACTTTATTCACACTCGAATTCCTGGCTAAGGGAGAATCTGGAATGAGGAAAAACCATCTGGGAACAAATGAGTTACAGGAGGATGGGGTACTTAACTATACTGGAAACTAGTAGCAGAAGGCATCACCTTGAGCATCTAATTCCTTGTGGAGACTTGAGGCCACTGCTGGTTAGAAAGTGAGGATTGAACCAGTCTTCCTGGTACATATGCCTGGAACGTTGCCACATAGATGTTAAAGGGAAATGCAAAGGAATTGAGGCATTGTTGCAGATTGAGTGATAGTATGTGTTAATAGGACTCTGCTAGTGTCTGTAATTTCACAGTTTCAGGGTTGGTAGGTGGTAGGGGGTTCCTGGTCAAAACCAYTCTGATTTGGGGCACAGGATTATGAATCAGCCTGCCCAGCCTCAAATCCCACCTACACTCCTTGCTGGCCAATCAGCCTGAGGCAAATTACTTATTTTCTTGGAACCTTGTTTCTTAATCTTTAAATACGGATAATGAGATTGTTTTCAGGATTAAGGGAGATAGAATCTATAAAAGTTATTCCTAGGACTTTATGATTATTCAGTAAATACTATTATTATTATCAAGAGCAAATTCTATCCCCCACCTCTTGCAAAAAAAGTCCCTAATTTTCATTATTTTCTCCTTAATAGCTGGAACCCAGGCTGGAGAAGAGATGCCTGTTGTTTCAAAAACCAACATTAAGGAGTACAAAGACAGTTTCTCTAATGAAAAGTTTGATTTTCGAAACCACCCAAATATCACTTTCTTTGTTTATGTCAGTAATTTCACCTGGCCCATCAAAATTCAGGTAAGATATGCTTTTTGGTCTCAGGTATGCAATGATGGTGAAATCTCGTCAGTGGAGACTAGATTCAGTAATGTGGAACTTGTGATAAACAAAATGGACAGTGTTGCTTTGCGTTTGTAAGAACTATAGCTAAGGAGTGCCTTGGACATCATGTATCCCTTGTGAGGGACATTTAAAGGCCCTTTGGAAGCAAGTTGGCACATAGCACATTTGGTGATTACACATATATTCATTTCTTCATTAATCAATTGCCTTGTAAGAGCCTGCAGGGCCAAAGAACTTCAGTTCTGGAATGAATGATGTGAGTGTAAAGGAAGCAGACACACCTCTAATCAATAAGAGCCAGAGTGGGGGAAATGATGTTGGAAAAGTTTCCCAAACTGTAATTAGGGTTTAAAGCAGGAGGGGTGGTTGTAGAAGGCAGGGGGTAGTGGGGTGTGAGAGCACAGGCCTTGCAGTGGGACAGATGTGGATTTGACTTGTGGCTCCTGTGCAGATTGTAGGGCTTCCCCAAGTCTCAAGTTCTTTGTGAATATGACCAAGGGTAGTGCTAAGTGTCTGTGTTGCTGTCTGTGGCCTCATTCACAGGGCCCTTCCTCCTGTCCAACACTCGTGGCCCCATTTGAGCTTTCCATGATCATGTTCCCCAAGCCCTGGCCTCAGTACTCCCTGCTCTTGCTTCCTTCATTTTGGGGTCAATGTGGAGGTCAGGGATGGGTTGACTTGGAAGGAACAGTTTGCCTTTAGCYCTGGAWRCGTGGTTGCTGGACAGGGGCTGGGGCTTTATYAGTGTTGGAAGCAAGTGGTGCAGTTGCCTGGGATGGGTTTGGAGCTACTTGTGGTGGTTGTATCTTCATGCCTTAGGGCTGTGACTGAAGGACAGTTCATCTTTTCCTTTCTGGCATGTGGAGAACGGGAACGCTGTTTGTTTTTGCTCACCTCTCTGTTGCTCACCACCCTCCTGTCCSGTGGTCTGCACATGTGCCCATCTCTGATCTGCTTCTCCCTTRGCTCCTGCACACTCTCTGCTTCTCTCCTCAGCCAGTCTTTTTGTAAGCAAGGGCCGCAATCCCTATTTCTGTTTCTCATCTCTATTCATTTGTCATCCCCCAGCAGTCTGGCTTCTTCCCTGTCACACGGCATCCGAGTGACTGAATTCTTTAGGCTCCTTTTCTTTCTCATTGTCTGACTTGAGTCACTTTCCTTYTTGCCTCCCTGTTCCTTTCTTTCCCTTTTTCTTGGGCCAGCCTCTTTAGGGAGTCCTCTTCTTTAAACACTGGTCCTCTTCTCTCTTTGCTGCACCCAGCTTCCCTGGGTAATTCTCTCCCACTTTAGGACTTGTGCCATGTCTGTGCTGGGGATTCTCAGTGCCATCTGCAGCCCAGCTATAGGTGGACTGCACAGCAGGATCCTTGGGTGCTGCTAGACATCTCAACTGGRATATTTACAAGTTCCCTGCACTGGACACTTGATTGCTCTCATKCTCTTAGCTGCAACCTGTCGCTCTTTCTTTCTAAGTGAACAGAACTGCCAGTCACCCTGTTGCAGGAGCTAGGGCCTGGAAATCATTTACATTTCTGACATAAGCCCAATTGGGCATGAAATATAGTTTCCTTACTTTACACATCACTGGGTTCAGTTTGCTAATATCTTGGTTAGAATTTTGCATCAGTTTCATGAGTAAGAATGTCCTTGTTACAGTTTTGATGTCAAGGTTAAATTAATGTTTAATAATTATAACCTGAGGAGTTTTCTTTTTTCCTTAGCTCTGGAAGAGAAGCCAGATTAGGATTACCTGAATATTCACTTCTTGAGATCATTTGATTCTAGCATTTTATTTGAGGAGGTTTTTTTTTTTTTCTTTTTGGTATTGAATCACTTCTTTTACTTTTTGATACTCCAATTGAACCAAAGGGTACTTAACCCATGAGTTATACTTCCAGCCCTTTTTACTTTTTATTTTGAGATATATCAGTAAATTGCCAAAGCTTACCTCGAATTTTCAAGTAAATCAACTTCTKTAGGATGTTCTGGATGTCCTCTTTCTACTTGAATTACATTTGGTATTTTTCTGTAGAAATTAATTTATTTCATGTGTTTTCAAATGCATTGAAATAACCTATTAACACTGTCCTCTTATGTAATCTTTGCAACATCTATGCTTACCTAACCCTTTTTGTATACCAGTGTTTATAATAGCATTATTACCAATAGCCAAAAGATGAAACTGTCTAAATGTCCATCAACAAATAAATTGATTCACAAAGTGTGGTATGTGTATATATGTACAATTAATTATTATTTAGACTTGAGAAGGGGAAGGGGCTAGGAGTGTAGCTCAGTAGTAGAACAAGTGCTTAGCCTTACACAGGCTATGGGTTCAATCTTCAGCATCCCTAAGAAAAAAGAAAAGGTAATGAAATTCCGATACACACTATAACCTGGGTGAACCACAAAAACATTATGGCAAGTGTAATAAGACAGTCACAAAGGACAAATGTTGTGTGACTCCACTCTCATATGGTACCTAGAGTACAAAAATCAGTACAGACATGCAGTAGATAAGAAGTTATCATTGGCTGGTGGAAAAGGGCAATTGTAAGTTACCTTTTCAAGATAATTAAAATTTCTTTTGGGGGTGATGAAAGATTTGAAAGTAGGTTATAGTTTTTTTTTTTTTACAAAATTATTAATGTAATTATTGCTACTGAATTGTACACTTAAAAATGTCTAAAAATGCCTCATGTAGTTCCAGCCATTCTAGAGGCTGAGGAAGGAGAGTCTGCCTGGGAAAGAGTGAGACCTTCTCTTTAAAAAAAGTAAAATTTTTTTTAACCACAAAATGTTTTTGGAGATCTGAACCTCCATATCATAAAAGTATGTGAAAAGACAAAAGTTCTAGAATGGCTCTAACGGTTTTGAAAAGGAGGAATAAAATGTGAGGATCATTGTACTTCATGTTAAGGCTTACTGTTTGGGTATAGTAACCAAGATATTGTGGCTGCTTTTAGATAGTCAGTCCAATCAGTGGCACAGGCTGATCTATAGAACCCAGATATAGAAGCATATAAACCTGTTTATCTGATTTTTAGTAAGGATGCAAAAGCAAATGCATGGAGGAAGGAAGGCCTTTCAACAGATAGGGCTGGTGCATTTGGACAACCATAGGCAAAGAAACAAACTTCAACATAAACCCCACATTTTATATAAAAGTTAGCTCAATGTAGATCAAAGATTTAAAGGTAAAACATAAAACCATAAAAGAGTTAGAAAAAAATGTACAAGAAAGTCTTTTCCTTCTAGAGCTTGGCAAAAAGTTTTTAGATTTGATTCCCCAAATATGATCCATAACATGAAAAATGAATATATTGGATATAAAAGCCAAATTTTTTGGTTTTGTCAAAAATTTTGTTAGGAAAATGGGAGGAAAAAAAGCTATATACTGGGAGAAAATATTTGCAAATCATGTATCTGAAAAAGTAAGCCAACTGCAGTGATGCACATTTGTAATCCCAGGTACTTGGGAGATTCAAATATGAGGATCATAAGTTCAAGCCTAACCTTGATAAATTAGTGCACAAATAAAAAGGTTTGGGGACATAGCTCAGTGACAGAGCACCCTGTACCTAATCCCAAGAATCTGAAAATATAAAAACCAGTAAAGAAATAGTTCAATTAGAAAATGGACAAACCAGGAGTTGGGGCATGGCTCGGTGTAGAGCATTTACTTAGCATGTGCCAGGTCTTAGATTTGAACTACAGCACCAAAAAAACAAAAACAAAAACAGACAGAGAAAGAGGAGAGAAGAAAGGGGAAAGAAAGAAAAGGAAAGGGAGGAAGGAAGCAAGGAAGGTGAGATGGAAAGGACAGGAAGAAGCAAATAGGCAAACCAACTCCATGAGATATTTTACCCAAGAGGATATATTTGTATGGCAAAGAATCACATGTAGGGCTGGGGTTATAGCTCAGTTGGTAGAATACTTGCCTAACACATGTGAGGCACTGGGTTCGATCCTCAGCACCACGTAAAAGTAAAAATAAAGGTATTGTGTTCATCTACTCTAAAAATATTTTTTAAAAAAGAATCACATGTAAAGATGTTTAGCACTGATAACCATTAGAGACATGCACTTTAAAACCAAAGTGAAGAATCACTACATATCTACTGAAATGGCTAAAATTTAAAAGTGAAAAGCCAGTCCTGGAGAGAACAAGGATTACTCATGGTTTGTTGGCAGGAATCTATTAGTGGTCCAACCAGTCTGGAGAATACTTGGGCATTTTCTTCTAAAACTAAATCCATACTTACTAGATAACCCACTAGTTGTGTTCCTGGGCATTTATGATAGAGATGTGAAAAGCAGTGGTCACACAAATACCTGGTCATTAGTGTTTATAGCACCAGTACAGCAATATTTTATAGATTTATTCATAATAGACAAGAATTGGAAACAACCCAAATATGCTTCAACAGGTGATTGGCTGCATATACACTGGAATAATAATACACACAGTGCRATAATACGCAGTAGTGAAAAGAAATGAACTGTTATACACAACTGAGGATATAAATCCTGAGGATATTTTGCTGTCTGAAGAAAAAACATCTTAGAAATTCTCATACTGGAAGATTCTATTTATGTAACATTTGAAAATAAAAAATTGAGACTTTAAGTGTATATGTATATATGTGTATACACGCACTTAATACTGAATATGAATGCTAAACCTTTAGATTTCTCTGATGCCTTCTGGTTCTGACTGCCAAGCCTTTTTAAATGGCTCATCAGCTTAGGTCAGGCCCAGCCATTCAGGAAAAGAAGAATACACAGGGTGAGAATCTTTAGGGGGAAACTCTTGAAACCTCCACGCCCTGTACTGCATTTGGACTAGMACTAGCGGGTTTCAGACTGCTTCTCTGATCTCAGGTAGGTTGAGCTGTACACTCCATCAGTAAAATTTCCTCCCTTTTCCCCTTTGTCGTTGCCTTTCTCTTTTC